TACCTACCACATCATTAAAACTCACCAAGAAAGACGGTATCTTTGGTACAGCCGATTGGAAGTTTTTTGGATTTTAAAAACTTCAATTGTATCAAATACTATATAATCTGTAAAAAATATTAAAACTTCTCATAAGTTAATTTTTTATTTATTTTATTACAAATATTAGAAGCACCAAATTGGTGTTTTTGCAAGAATTTTTCATTTAGATTTTAATGAAATTAACATATTATTATTATTATTATTATTTTATTTTTATTTTTTTCTATTTACAAAAACAACATTTCTATAATAATTTTTTTTCAACAGAACTTCTATTAAAAATTCCAATCACATTAAATAGCTACTAAATTAGGGTTGAAGTACTTTTGAATTCTATATTAAAAAATTATTTTTTTTAAGAAAAAGGTAAATAGTTCAATTTGTAAGGAAGAAAAAAAGGTAGAAAGGAGGCTATGTACAGATTTAAACCCTCGTTAAAAGCCTTTGACGTTCGGAGTTTTGATTAATTAGCCTCAAGGCCTTTCCTCGATATATTGAAAAGTTTAAGCACTTGATAATAAATGAAGTTTGGATATATTATGTTTTATATTTTAATTTCTTAGTAAACCCTCCTTTTTGAAGGAATAAATCAGTTAAAATCCTCCTCTTTGCTATGTAATATCTGCCATGTTCGTAGGGAAGGGAATAGATTAATTAGCACATGAATTGGCAACTTTGAATTGTCTTACTGTACTGTTCCGTTCCGTTTGAGCGGTTCTGGTATAGGACTACACCTCTAGATGTATCAATTGAGCTTATGAATTAATAAATAGTTGATCTGTTTTGTTGTCTCAAAAAAAAATTTTTCTTAGTAAATCCTTATGTGAAACTAAACCAACTTGTTATTGTCTCGTTTTAATAACTTAACTAAATTAATGTTCTTAGTTGTTTTCTTCAACTACTTACACTAGGTCTTCTAACCCAACCATATTTTTAAAGAATAGAAAAAAATTCTTTAGTCAAATTTTGCTTCCGACTAGGATTGGTCTGCTAGAATTTGTAAAAATAATGAGAACGACTAGGTAGAAGATTAATTTATACTCATTCACACAGTGAAAAATTAAATGAAGTATGTTTTTTATTGGTTGAGCTAACCGTTTCACACTACTTCATCAACTATGTTTTTTATTGGTTGAGCTAACCGTTTCACACTACTTCATCAACTAATTAGTATAATATGAAATTATGAATAACTCTTTTGTATCCAAATAGATTCGCAAATTATTATCATCATTGGGTACTTAGTTAACGAAGCAAATTACCATTTATTGGGTAATAATAATAATAATGACAACTGTGCTAGCTAGACAACATCCTTCGATCTATCCTCCCTTATTAATTCTTAAATTATTTTAAAAAAATAAAACCATTTAATTAGTATAAAAAAATGAGTGATATTTACTCAGTTTGATATAGTTTTTTAATACTTATTCAATTTACTTATTAAAAATATAATATAAATATAATTGATTTAATTAATTTCTGTATTTTATGTGTGTAATTGCATTTTTAAATTTATTTATTTTTAATTTTATATAAAAAAAATAATTTTTAATAAATATATTATACAATATTTTAAATTAGAATATATATTAATTAATGTCTTCATCGTCACAGAGATAAGGACTATCAATGACGACAATATGAGCAAGGTGGAACGTGGAATCCAATTTTTTGGCTGGTTTTGGCCACACCTCTATTTCTTACGGTCACATAAATTATTGTACTTTAAAAA